AGCGTTGAAACACCGGTTTTCATATGATCACCGAAGTTAAGCAATATCGATCCTGATCAGTACCTAGATGGGCGACCGCTTGGGAATATCAGATGTTGTAAGTACGGATGTGGCTTACTGACATATCGCTTTACAACACCGGTTTTCCTATAATCACCGAAGTTAAGCAATATCGATCCTGATGGGCGACCGCTTGGGAATATCAGGTGCTGTAAGCATGGATGTGGCTTACTGACATATCGTTTTAAACACCGGTTTTCATATGATCACCTAAGTTAAGCAACATCGAGCCTGATCAGTACCTAGATGGGAATATCAGGGGCTGTAAGCATGGATGTGGCTTACGGTCACATCTGGTTGAATCACCGGTTTCCGTATGATCACCGAAGTTAAGCAACATCGAGCCTGGTTTTTACCTAGATGGGCGCCCGCTTGAGAATATCAGGGGCTGTAAGCCTGGATGTGCGAGTGGTGTAATGACTCAGAATTTTTGATCGAGGACCCGAGTTTCACTTCCCGTTGTGTTCGTTATATTCACTTACACGCAAATACATACCTAAGGCAAATTGAAGGAAAACAGCCCTTCTTCTATGGGTTAATTAGTAAGGCTTCTCTCACGAAACCTTTATTATCTGAAAAAAATTACTTACAACCTGAAAATATTTTCTGGCTTTAAATAACCTGCAAAGGGTTTCTATGGTAGAAAACGAAGCAATCAATAAAAAAAAAAACACTTTTATTTGAAGGGGAACAGATTTGCCCAGCCCACTTGTCTCTTGCCACCTACCTCGGGGTGTCATCATTGGCCCTTAACTTTTTTAATGCAATAAGGTGCTACTTGAGAAAATACATGCGACTGGGGACCGCTTGTGAATCCAAATTTCCGCTGAAACTCCTATTATTTGCAGGTCAGAATGAATACGACCTCCGCTACGCTTGGTCGGCTTTCGTTCGAATGCAGCGTCAAAATGAACAGAATCTTTCATAGGGAACAAGAGGAACTAAATGTATGGAACTGTTCACCATTTTAATCCTCTCCTTTTATATGCCGTATCCATTCAGGACGTTGGTGATCATGGTTCTCCACAACTACTTGTCCTTTTAGCATTACTTGTTATTTTGTACTTTTTGCTATCCCTCTTAAACCTGATCGGTCACCAGTTCACTCAAGCTCGCCATGTAGCTCATGGGTTGTTTTCCTTCAATCTGCCTTATGTGTATAAAATTTTCCAAGCCCTCTTTCCTCGTTATGTGCAACTATCTCTTCCTGATGTCCCTACTATTAGCACGTCCTCGGATGCGGCGTTAACAAAAGGAACCCAATGTTCCAATAGGGAACGAGAGGAAGTAAATAACTTGAGAGAAAGATCCAGAAAAAAAAATATTGTCTCCATCATTTTTAATAAAGTTCCACCAAATACAAGGCTCAAGAGCCACTCAAACTAGAAGTTTACTAAATGACGCGCTTGAACGAACGTAGATGAAGAAAGAAGAGTAAATGTGGGTTATGAGAATACGTACGATATGCAACGGTTGACCCTTGGACACTTGGACATGATATAATGGCTAGCAAACTTGTCTCGCTAAATCAATTACAACTGAATAGTGAGTTCGATCCTCACTAGGTGCCCCATTCTTTTAGCTGTGTGCTCCATCTAAGCTTAGTAAATCACTATGTGACGTTTGACCCTAGACTTGAAGAGATTAAGATTGTAATGATGGGGTAAGCATCCTCTCGGGATTCTATCCATAAAGTAGAGGCTTTTGAAAAGAAGCGCTACGAGTCTAACTTCCTTCTTAGCAATTAAGTACGAATGGAATGACGAAGGTTCTCCCCTGCGTCCATAGCATGGCGAGTCTTAGCTTTGAAGGTCTGAACTGGTAGAAATAGGCAATGTGCGTCGTTTCCTCTGTGGGAAAAGGGGTTGTAGGATGGAAAACATTCCATTGCCTTACATGGAAGTAGAAACAAATAGTTGACAAACAAAAATGGTGTCAAGAAACCTTATTATAATTACGGAAAGAGTATGAAGTATAAGGAGAGTGAAAACGAAATGAATATAAAGAGTGAAAAAAAGAAAACAGGAAGTTGTGGGGAGCCATAATCGTGCACGACCTAAAGGGACAAGACCAGGGCCGGATTTAGGCTTTAAGAGGCCTTTGGGCTAAAAGTATTTGGCGGCATTTTCATTACATATCTAAAAGTCCCAAAACATTTTTATGTCAATTGTTCTGAGGAGTTCTCTTCTTTGGTTCCTCGACTTTAGGAATTTAAGCATAGTACTAAATTGGCAGCTAGACAGGGCCATCACGTCTTACCCTGAAACCTTCGGGGTGGAAGGTTAGTGTGGCCTGTACCATTTTTTTCAACACTGTTTTATGACCATCCGCCATTTTTTTTTAATTATTCTTAAACTAAGATTGCATTGTCATTCATCAACTAATAATATACATCGTCTATCTGCATGGCCGGTGCGGTGCGTACGACGCAGGAACTCACAACAAGGTTGGAAGCCTAAAAGGGCTAGTTTCAGCAGTGTTTATTTTGCTTTTTGTACTTTTTTCTACCTAAGTTATATTGTCAGTCATATAACATTTTCTCATTTTTTCGAGTAAAATTTCGTCATGAAAATATTGGTTATTACATCAGTCATATAACAATTTCTCATTTTTTTTTTAAATAAAAAAATTATCCATTGTAAAAGTAAATAATTAATGAGTATGTACTGAAATTTTCAATCAAACTGAATAATTCCCTGATTTTTGGTAATTTAAAATCAAGCTTTGCCCTTCCCACACCAATTTTCCTTTTAGGGTTTGCGGCTCCGAGGTTGGGTAACTTTAAAATCGACATGTAGTAGAAGGTGAGATGAGACGTTAGCGCCGACCCCGCATCATTTTACTGTTGAAAGTGCAACCGTAAGTTCTATTCTAATGGTTTCTTCTTCCGTACTTTCACCTTCTTGCCTTCCCGTTAACTACGGTCTTCAACAATGTGAACGCAATGTCCCTCTCATCATCTACCTTTTTGAATCCTGTTTTTTTTTATTGTCCTCTCTCGGCAATAATGTTTTCTCAGTTTCTTTCAATCTCAGTAACCCCTTGCGTCTTAGTGACTTAATCACCTTACTTTGAGGGAACTGATGTAAAAAAAAAAAAACACCTGAAAGTTTAGATATTTCTGGCGAGTTTGGAATCATCAAAAACTAGTAAAAAATGAATAAGATAATAAATTTTCAGTTTTCAACCAGAGGTTTCTCAAGATTCTGGCGATGGCACATAACGCCTGAATGTGGATTCACAACTTTCCCTGAGGGTATCAGTACAAAGTGAAGATTAAAATCCTAAACCGAAATTTTCATTGTTTTAATTATCTAATTTTTTTTTTTGCAATAATCTAATATAAACAAATCTTAAAGAAGGTAACACTGGCTCTCTAGAACAAATAAATAATGAAATATACCATAAATTGTGGCGTACAAGTCGACCTCAACAATTTTTGCTCAAAATTCTGAGTTAGGCCTATACCTACCGTACAGGTCTCCCCCTTCAAAATACGGTAAGCTACCAGTGACCCAAAACTTAGGCCTATCCATAAATGAAGTTATGCTACAGTATACGATAATCTGTATCAAAACTATATAAGGTCATACCACTTACCTGTATATTGAGACTGTAACTAAACAAAAGTTTCAGTGGGATATATTTGTGACAGCCTGCTGGAGGTACATTAAGTGGTGCACAGTAATTGTTAGGGGTGATGTCCCACTTGTTTACAACTAGGTGGTAAAGGTTTGCATTTTTATACCCGCCGTATAAGTCGACCTTTAACTTTGGAAAGCTTTTTTAGACTTGAAAACTCAACTTGTACGCCGAAATTTACGGCATATGTTTAGATTTAATTTTTGCAGACGACAGGCGTTTGAGGCCTAACTAGAAAGGCGGATGTCGCGCCAAAACTGGTCTTAAGTTTGGGGGCAAGTGGATCTAATGAATACCCATACAAGAATAGAAAGAGGATCGACGACAAACCTGTCAGAATCGGCTCAACCACTACGAGTCTGAAGGTGACACTGTCCGAAACCGCGTCACTGGGTGGGGGGAGACGTGGATGAAAATACATTATATGCGTTAGCGATAGTTAAATTCCCCTGCTTTTCCTAACAAAAAAGGGATACAATTTCGAGTCTTACTTGAATCGCATCATTGTACACCGTATACTAACTTTGCTTGCCTCTTCTGTTTTGAGTAACGATAACCTGTACGCTGTCACCGCTACAATTAATTATTAATTATTGTGCGAACACTGATAGCGGACATGGGTATGACGATAAACTACATCCGGCAGCAGAGTCTCTGATCTGGAGATTGGAGGTTTTGAGAGGCGTGGAACCACCTCTTAATTGCTGTCGTTCCCAAGTCCACCCTGATCCGGGGTGGTAACACCTGTTAGGGTCCCGACTATGGGAAAATAGAGAATTATAGTAAAATGACCAACAATACCTATTTATCGCAAAATGACCAACAATAAATTTTATAGCAAAATGACCCGCAATGCATTTTATCTGTAGTTGAAGGCATGCAATTGCGTTCAAAACATCTTTAGTTGATGCCTTAAAATTGTGTTCAAAATATTTAGATTTCGGCATTAACTAACCCATAGAGGTGTTGATATGCCGCTAAACGAAAGTCAACCAATCAACCAACATGAAAGAATTATTTCATGACATTAATCTATATAATATCCGATAATTTCTTAAAGAAATCAAAATGTATTGCAAAATATAACTTCAACAGAACTAAAACATAAAAAACATACATATCACCGCCTCTTGCAATTATGTCCACACAAGCATATATATATGCATAAAAGCTAAGTATCATCTACCATGTATTCAATTGTGAAAGCAGAATAATATATATTGTATTTTTATTACTTCAAAGCTCCCAAGAAAATTAAATTTCGGCATTAAATGACCCATAAGGAGTTGATATGCCGTTAAGCAACACAAACACTGACAGCAGTTTCAATCAAACCTACCACTGTGAAAGAAAAGATCATACTGAAAGGTTATGATGTCCCTTAGTGTAATATCGCAAAAGAAACAGAACGTTATCTGATATATTTATTATTGCATAATTATTTGAAAATAATAATTACTCGATTGTACTCGGTTGACCGAGCTTTCCTAATTACACATGTGAATATCCATGCTTGACATTTCCCGTGATCCTTTCTGACCTTCAGATGTTTCGTTCAGAAAATGGGATGTGATGCCTTCTTCTTCTTCTTCTTTTTCTATGTGCCGTGTCCTTTCACAATTTCCTGTAAAGTTTCTCTTTTTGCTCTCTCTCTCTCTCCTAATTCCTGTTCTGCCAACCATTTACACCGGCTCGTTCTTTCCTCAGTCCCTTTTGCTTTCAATATGCCTTCTGAGTGTCAAATTTTCCAATCC